CATGTAGCTGTGTCTAAGTGGTCTACAGAGATGACTACCAACCAAGTGGATCATGGATACCAACCCGGCTCCACCTACGGAGGTCTGGGTCCCAGATAGTATCACTAGCCTTCACACAACGGGTATGCCTCATTGTCTACTGCATGAATGTGCACAAAATGGATGAGTGCATTTCGTTTCGTTCTTTCTTCATTCGGAAGAGTAAGCATACCATAGTCTTAGAATATACATACATAGGTATATATATTAGTTTGACTTTCTGAAATAGCCACGCCAGATTTCAAATCAGCGAGAATGAATGCAATCAGGCTGGAGTAACCGATCACTAATTTACATGGCAGCCGGGCGAAACCATTGGTAAATAAAGTTATATATATATATATATATATATATATATATATATATATATATATATATGCAATCACCTACAAATTTTTACTTCCTTTCTCAAATCTATTTTTCATTCCTTCCCAGCCGGATTTTTAATGATGGTTGAATATATTTACATAAATATATATATAGAAACTCATTTCAATCGTTTCAGATCGAATCTACCGCCAGTTTATTTGTTTTTACATATTTTGCGAATCTCCTATTGGTTATTCATGATATTAAATAATTAATCGATTGATAATCATAATTTTATATTATTCTTTTATTTACTTTGAACTGTTGTGTGAATTGGGAGTGGGTTTATCAACCCCACTATCAGTGTGATATTCCCATTTTTTATGTTTCTGTCAAAATAATTGATGCTGCTTGTATTTTTCTAATTATTGGTAATTCCTAATTGTTAGTTTTCTAGATGCTCAACTGATTGAGTAAACTTGAGTTTCTTAGTGATTATTTTACTGAAATACTCATTCTGTGAACAGATAACGACAGTTTAAATTGTATAGTGAATCCGCTCACAATATATTTTGATTGTGAATGCATTTTCCTGTTATACATTAGCTAACAGATTTTTAGTGAAAATTACATGTCTGTAGAAGTGAACAATACACATTTTGCAATGAAATACACGCTAGTATTTATATGAATATTTTGTCCACGGCATCTCATTGACCATTTTTTACAGACACAATGAAAAGTTTCATCTTAATTATGTGATCTTTGTGTAACTGTTAACTTAAAATTGTTCTCAATAATATCAGTTTCTATGTTGTACATCACCCTTGCCTAGGTAACTAGTACACTAGTTACTAGCCGGTCCTAAGCTCGGACAATGAGGGAAGGTTGGGCATAGGGTTAGCAACCCCACCCCGGAAAATCAATCTAACCGCTAAAGAAACTTCAAAGCACAAACAAAATATAAGACATAAAATTCAACTTATTCCTCACTCAAAAATCGGAGAGACGAAATGACGCCGGTTGGCGAAAGTCTTCGGGAAGCCAATTACCCGATCTGTCTTCTCTCGATGAAAGCAAAAGTAAACGTAGGGACATGGAATGTCCACACCATGTATGAAACTAGCAAGGCTACCCAGATTGCAAAAAAGATGAGAAGGTATGGCATAGAAGTGCTAGGTTAGGAATCTGAGAAAGCAGATGGAATGGAAGTGGACTCTCCCAACTGTCAACTAGAGAGTCAATAATCTACTCCAACATTGTCACCAACACGACAAACACGAACACACTGAGTTTTCGAGTGGCTATCATGATATCCCCAAGAGCATCGAAGGCTCTCATGCAGTGGGAACCAATAACCTCCACGATCAGGATCATGACAGAAAGATTCAACTCAAAAGGAAGGAAAGTCACAACTATACAATGCTACGCTATGCACCTACAAACAACGCAGATTAAGAGGAGAAGGAGGAATTCTACAGACACCTGCAATTAGTAATGGACAAGGCCTTAACCCAGTTGGCGACATCAAGATTCTAATGGGTGGGGTGGGGTGGCATGAATGCCAAACTGGGAGCGGACAAGACAGGAAGATAACTCATCATGGGTCGAGAAGCACTCGGTGAAATGATGAGGGGGATTGGAGAGTTGTTTGCAGACTTCTGCTCATTTAATGATTTGGTGGTTGCAGGCAGTGTGTACAAACACAAGGATATTCACAAAGCGACATGGATTTGATTTCAACAGACACCAGGACACACCACACTAAAAATCAGATCGACTTCATCTCAATGTGAAGAAAGTGGAGATGGAGAGGCAGCCTACTGGACACAAGATCAAGAAGAGGAGCATCTGTAGGTTCACACCGCTCACTATCTAGTGCACGGAACCTACCTTCAAAATCAAGTTGAAAGGCTTCTCAGAAGCTGGTGATAGACCACAGTTCAAGTTCAACACGCATAATCTGAACTGAAGGACGAAACTGCAAAGGACATCTTCACGTCAGCGAGTAATCAGGACAAAATGGGAGACATTGAGCAACACTCTTGAAGAATCGGGCATGGAAGAACACTGGAACTCTTTGAAAGAAATAGGGGGGAGGAGACCCGCATAATCGTATTAGGAAGGAATAAAAAACAGGAAAGGGAATGGATCTCGACGGACACATGGGAGCTGATAGAGTAAGGAGAGGGAGATGGGAAAGCAGAAGATAAAACAGTGCAGTGTAAGGATGAACAGCGAATAGAGGAACTGAGTACAACCTATAAAGCACTACACTGAACAAAGAAGTGAAGAAGAGTGCACACAAAGACACTTCTATGGCACACTGGCACATGAAGCAGAACTGGCTGCTGGTAGGAGAGACCTGATAACATTAAATCAAATAGCCAGATCACTATCTGGGAGGGAAGAGATCAATTCAAATGAAACCAATGAAAGATAGTGAAGGGAAGCTAGTTAGCAAAGAGGAGAAACAAAGGAAACAATGGGTTGACCACTTCAACAAACTCTTGAATAGACCCACACCTGAAACTCGTCTAGAAATACTGCCAGCAGCTCAGCTACAGAATTGCCAGTGAACACAGGCCCTCTGACGAAAGCAGAAGTCTTGAACACCATAAAGTTGCTAAAATCCAGGAAAGCAGAAGGACCAAATGAAATTCCGCCTGAGGCACTGAAAACAGACGCAGAGACAACAGTAGTCACTCTCACACGACCATTGCGGAAGGTTTACGAGGAAGCAAGAAAAGGTACCTGCAGACTGAAAGAAGGGATCATGCAACAAACTGTGGGAGGATGAACATACGCTGTTTGAGCAATGAAAAGACCCTAGAATATTTAGATTTCACCGATGGTGATTTATGTCTAATGTCTTGTCGCACAAACTCGAAGATGTACAGGCGAAAACCAGCAAGTTAGCAGAAGAGTCGAGGCAGCGAAGAGGGGACTTCAGATGAACGTAGAGAAGACAGAGATGATGAAGATACCCAACCAGCAACTGCAACAATAACAAGCACCATGAACGGTAGAAATCTAAAGGAAGTTGTCTCTTTCACCCACCTACCTAGGCTGGACAGCATCGTTTCAACTACAGGCGTCACAAATGAGGACGTCAAAGGCAGGATCGGAATAGCAAAAAAGGTCTTCATTAACGTGAAATCAGTGTAGAGATCTACTGCACTCAACGTAAAGCATGAGCTAGATCCATTTTCAACACTAATGCCATTCAACCAAGTAAGTCAGTTGTTCTATGTGATGGTTGAGAGACTTGGCACGTTACGAGTAGCATTTCCAACAAACTACAGACATTCATGAACAGCTGTCGCCTATGGTCACTCGATAGCAAAAATCAGATGACCGGAATAATAAGAATAAGCAATAAGGAACTCACCGTGGCTGGCCGACTGGCAAGGAACCAACCATGAACCCATCACCCAACAGATATTCAGAAGAAGAAAGTGGAGATGGAGTGGATTGGATGTACACTGAGAAGACGGTTTGGGGACATCACGCATCAGACCGGGCCAGGGCGTCGAGTGGAACCCAAAGGTGAAACGACGAGTTGGGTTTCCTAGGTAATGGTGACATGGAGGAGATGGTATGAGGAAGAGATGAAAGGCTGCGGGGAGTGGTAGAGCCATGTTAAAAAGACTGTAGAGAAGAGAGTGAAATGGTAACGTGCTACTTAAGCCTTATGTTCCACTAGGAACCCAAGGGACAAATAAGAAATAGTAATGTTGTACATCACTAACTATCGAGGCCTATATAGTCGGTAAGTCGATCTCTACTAACATTTGAAGGTAATTTGATTGTGATTGTTCTATTTTACCTAGTCGTAGAATGTACCAGTATCACTATGAAATGATAGTTCTCTTGAATTAACCTTTTTTTCGTTCATCGCAGATTCTTTTAACGGTTAAATGTCTTTTTTGATTCTGAAACGATAAGTGTATGCGTCTAAAACGTTTCTATGGCAAATATAGTGTATAGCTTATGAACAGGGATTTGTTGTGTTTTGGCACTTAAAACACTGACGAAAATGCATTCTTATAGTATTGTTACTTCAGCAGCGATATATCAGCATAGACAACAATAAAATACCATTTGTTGGTATACTTGTAATTCTCCGTTGGATCGAATTGTTCGACCTCTGTTGATATATTGTCCCCTATGCAGATGCCTCGACATTGCCTGGATATTTATTATGGTAAGTTAATTGGTTGTGGCTAGAAAAGGAATCGTCCTATTTGGGATTCGTCAGCTGGATGTACCTACATCCCCTATTGAATGACGCTGAGGCGTCTGAAGTGATGAGTAGGCGGTTCGAATTCAGGAGAGGACCAATATTACTCACTATGGTACAGGTACATCCAGCTGATGAGTCCCAAACAGGACGAAACGCTCGTCCTAAATTCCCTTGCTTGCAGCCAGCAAGTAAGTTAACAAAACACCATGAAGTAACTAAATACAAATGTAAATTTTTCTCTCCTGTTTAACTGTTCATTCAGCTTTATTGATTGTATAAACATACTGCTAGGGGGTTAACATTTACTTACCATTAATCTTTATTAAGTTATCGTTTAGTATCATCAGTCAATCTTTCCTCTTTTTTTACACCTTATGAATCAATTGTCGTTAAATTTTATGTTTAGAATGGACATATGGATAATCCATATTGTGAAGGCATACAAGGTGCAATGGCTGCCTACGCTCATTCACTAAGAACAGTCAAATTTCATGGACCAACCAATTTTGCGCCAATTATTAATACAGTAGCTAGGTAAGTGAAAATCATTTTCTTTTTTGTATTGATCTGTGTAATTTGATAAAATTTATGTGAAATACACTTTGATTCTTCTACTTCAATAAGAGAACTAATTTTATCCTTACAACTTTTTCCTTCTTCCAATTGGTAAATAAAAAATACAGAGTTTACAAATTGATTACAATTTATGGAAATTAACTAATAAAATACCCCATCAAAATTCTGTTTCACATGAAACAAGCAAAACATTATAATGCACACTAATTGACTCAATTCTCAAATAAAAACTAGGTTTGTGAGCAAATTCATCTTCATTTGCCTTTAAAATAATGTTACGTAATATACTGATTATATTGTGTTCCCACTATATGAGCTACACGAAAGTGTTACCTATCACTACATCTTCAATGGCGACTCTTGTCGCTTCCTAATTAGTTAATGGAAATCCATTGTTGGAGATTGTTGATGACATATTACAGAATTTATGATATCGAATTGATGCATTCAGATTTCATCGTCAAATGAGTAGTAATAGCAGATCAATATTCCATTTGCTTACTCTGTCTATTTTGATGGCCATGTAAGTCACATGATATTATTATTTTCCCATTTTGATCTTTCTTCTCAATTCTTCATCTCGATGTATCAATCTGAAGTATGGCAACTTGGATAATTACGCAATAATTTATTATCATCTTGACAATGTGAGACAGCTGTCGTTTGGCCGTGGTAGTCAGGCGATACCCTTTGTAATGACCAAAATCCAAGTATTTCGGTCTGAAGGCAAAAAACGATTCATTAGAACCAAGCTAACCCCATCCAGACAAGTTACTGCGTCCCACTGTATAGTTTCCCAAACTTCCTTGAGTCACACACAGTCAAAGATTATGTTTCAACAACATCAATACATGATTTGACATAATAAATTTGTGGTACTATCAACCAGCAACAACAACACATAATATCAAAATTACAAAAGTACCTCAACAATGCCACTGGACAACTATACATACCAAAAAATTTTCTGACACGTTATACGTGCAATGCAGCTATAAAAGTTGATTCACTAAATAAAATTGTTAAGTTAAATAACTGAGAATGGATAAAATATTCCCAACAAAATGGAACAAGAACCTAATCAATCAATAAACGTTCCCAGAAGACAGTCAAAAGACAAGCAGTCACTTCACAGCACAACTTTAAGTTGAGCCAAAACAAAATGTCGAGAACAGTGAAACAACGACTTGTTGTCAGCAGTCCAAAGTGATGCATTCATGATAAGTCTCAATCGAAAGAAAGACAAATGATGAGTGTAAAGTCAAAGAAGATGACTAAATGACAATCAAATGTTATATCGGTTAGGGTTAAAGGATAACATCCATAATGAGGATGAAAATATTCAAATACATATCTATACTGCCAAAAAGAGTGCTCAGGAGGGATTTTCAAGTCATTTGTTCGGTTATACCAATTACAACAGCAACAATCATTGATTAGAATAAAGAACATTACTATACGCTTGCTTTCGGACTTGAAAGGTTTTTTTCAAGAACTATCTATACTATTCAAGCACTTACTTAAACTTCAAACGATACGAAAAAATTATGGATAAGAAAGGATATCTAAATCTTGTCAACTATATTCGATAGAATAAGTACTTTAAGAAAATTATGTGATTATTTAGCCTATAGCTCCTGTTTTCTTTTAACATAATTTGCTCTGAGACGAAGAACAAAATAGGAGCCAGGATGTTCTAACAACAGTACATATGCTTTACTCTTCTCAGTGATAAATAAATTCAAACTTTCAATTATACACATTCACATATCTGCTCAGTACTAACATCGAATTTTAAATTGGTATTCATCGCAGACTGATATCAGTTGGAGAACTATTAGTAAGTTAGGAACACTGGACAACGGAATGACAGAAGTAGGAAAATGCAATGGGTTACTGTATTATTCTTATGAGATCCAGAAAGGTAAACATTAAGAATTCTATATAGTGAAATTACTGAACAATACGTTATCCTGAACATTATTATATTAAGCTGAAAGTAGTAACAGACGTAATACTGTAACTTTTATCATATCCTTCAAAAGTGGAAAGATATACACCGATTTTAAAGAAAACGAGAATATTTCTTTTCAACGACTTCATTATCAAGCTGTACAGTCGTATTTATACTGAATAAAATGACAGATAATTGCACTAAAAAGTTGCTCAGTCAATATGCAAAATATACAATCGGTGGAGGAGTGTTGGTATTTGTTCAACAGGAACCGAAACTTTGCATTCAAAAACGTTTTGTGAAACCACTTTCTCTACCTTGGCCTTAACAATTCATTTTGTTGATTTTGTCACTTTCAGTTCACTTCACTTTGGTATACTTCTCTTCTATTATCACCAATTTTCACTTCATTGACAACACGTGAACCATATTTCACTCTTTAATATCAATTCATTCCTTAATCATTGACCTATTGTACACCTTTCAGTTTAATTATCACCATTTTATAATTCTTTGACAACATGTGTCGCTTATCTCACCACTTGTTATCAATTCGTTCCTCCTTATTCAGTGACCCATTTTCTATCTCTTCCACTTGAACAAATACCACCACCCCTCCACCGATTGTATATTTTGTATATTGACTGAGCAACTTTTTCGTGCAATTATCTGTTACTTACTCAGTATAAAAACGAGAATAAACGAAAAAGAGATCAACGTCAACAATCTAATGGAAAGATAATGAACCACTTATTCACACACAATTTGTACTAATTCGAGATAGCTTCTTGTATAAAAAAGCTCAATGTAAGTGACCTTAAATATATTTATACTTTCGAATATTTCACACCAAACTATAGAGATAATTATGAAAACTAATGTTATTTGTTTTTTGGGCAATCATGTTGCCATACAAGTATGTTGAACAAAGCCTTCAATTTACGCCCAAATCGATGCTGATTGGTCCCAAAGGGGTAAGTATATGTTAATTCCGAATTCCAAACTTTCAGCTCAACGCAATTATATACTTACATTATTAACATAAAGCAACAATAGAGAATGAAGTGGTTGAGTGTGTTGACCACTTCACTTACCTGGGAAGTAGGATCAACTCTGGTGGCTCAGTGGCCGATGAAATCTCTGCACGGATACAAGAGGCTCGGTTGGCTTTTGCCAACTTACGCCACCTGTAGCGCTGCCATGATATCCGATTGTCTATTTGGGTCGCGTGTACTGCACAACAGTTCGCTCTGTTCCACTGTATGCTTGTGAAACATGGCCATTGAAGGTGGAAGACATGAGAATGCTTCAAGTGTTTGACCACCATTGACTTTGTGGTACAGGTCATATTCCGTGGTGTCATCACGTGAGTAATGCAGAAGTCAGGTGTGGAGTTTTGAGGAGAAGAGGTGAATCAGTTGACGAGGTTATGAACCTTCATCGATTGAGATAGTTGGGACACGTAGTACGTATGCCTAGTCACCGATTGTCTCGTCACACCATGTTGGCCGAAGTAGGTTGAGGCTAGAAAAAAGCCTGAGGTGGCCAGACTAAAACATAGCACCGATGTCTCTGACTGTTGGTTTGAGCCATGTGGAGTGATGCAGACTAGGTGGTTGGGGTCCATGGGACAAGAGTAACCAGTGTTTGGAGACTGTAGGTGATATGGCTTGGAACCGATGTCAGTGGTGCAGATGTATACACTCATTATCTTCATGTTAACGACGCTATACCGAATCTCAGCATTTTCTCATTCTTCGTTTTCTCTTTTCGTACTTTATATTTCTTTTGACTGAATTTTATTATCTTCACCTTTCACCTCACTATGGCAACTCGTACCGTTACGCAGTAATGCCAGGTCCTATATTGATATTGATGATGATGAAACAAAAATTGATGTCAGTGGAGAATAATCCTTTGTTTCTGAGCTTAAAATTCAAGGGAGACGGTCCAAGTCACATGCTATCACAACGTCTAGCCAGAGCAGTCAACAGGACTTTTTATGCAGGTCGGCTGTCCATATCTTTCAGTGGTTGGTTAGTGTTTAATGTAAGACCAAACGATAGCCTACCTAAGTCTAGCTCTTCATCCTGCATACATCAATGTAACTGTTGCTGTGGAACAAGTTACATGGGGCGTACAATTAGTCAGGTGAGTGAGAAGATTTATGGGCTTGATTCGGAAAAGGCGAAGTGAAAGTGGTGAAAAGTATCATCCTACAGTAGCTAGTAGACACAGGGCATCACATAGGTGCTAATAAAGTCTTCAGTGACATTCATCATATTCCAAAACCAATACTATGTGTAGCTCCCCGACGCCTGTTCAACACAGTGAATGCTGTCGCTGTGCATTTAGAGAGAACATGTTCAGGTGTTACTCCCCTTTTGGCCTTTAGTTCAGTGTAGTCTACTCCTGTTTTCTTTATTGATTGTCTTCTCGGTCACCATTAGATTATTCATGTGGATATATATCATCTGTGAATCGCATTTCACCTTGAAAATGTATCTATCCTCACCTTGGCTTAATTTCACGCTATGCAAATGTATTTTATAATTGTGGAAATTGGTGAGAATCTATTGAGAAGAATACTATTCGTTCAGATGGTTTTTTTTTTATAAGTCCTGAGCGCATACCTAATTCTGCCGATCATATTTGCAATGTGGCCACCAAGTTAGAAGGTGGTACACTTTAGTACATGTTAGTTGGACAGAGACAACCATCTGGGAGTCCTAGACCTAGGTTTCGTGCTTCGTGGCAACCTCTTTGCTAAATAATGTTTGAAGTGGTAATGTGAAGCTGACTTACCAAGACCGTGGCAATAATTGGTTACCAAGTTAAATTGTGTAATATGATTAAACGGATTAGGGAATATTGTGAGAAATTAGAATTGTAAGGATTGATGGGATATGATGTGTAAAAAGAGTTGATATGTTAGCTGACCGGTGAAAGAAATGAATCTGAGAATAAAGTATTCGTACAGGTAATGTCTATTGGAATTCGAGTG